CTTGCCTAACTCCTAGCAATCTAGGAACACAACTCTGGCCACTGGGACCTCCTTCCCCACCTCCTTCTCCGGAAAACCCGGTTTGACGGCCAGTTGACATTGTTGCTCCTCAGCCCTTTCCTTCTAGCCTCACTTGGCTTTTCAGACCTGACCTCTGGTCATACCTCATCCAGGCCACTGTGCCATTTCCAAGGACTGGCTTTTGACTTGTCTTTCCTGCTAGATTGAGGTCTCCTGAGATGCAAAGAATGTGTTCTGTGCTTCTGTTTCTTTCATGTCTAGCTGGTGTCTGCCCAAAACTACATATATATGTAAGCATATGTACATTTCATGTTATGTTTTATATATATTAAACTTTGAACAAGTAAAATGGTTTGTGTGTCAAAGTCTGTGAGACTCAGGGGCAGGGATTTTCACAAACAGGGCCCCTCTAGCCCTAGCACCTATGCTTCTACCTCAATAATTATGGGTCGCTATGCTACTTCCTGCCTGTCTTTGCATAAACTGTTCTCTCTGCCTGCAAAACCTTCAGTCTCCTTCATTACCACAAGCTGAACCGAGCCCATCCTGTTTCCTGAAGGAAGTCCCAGCCCCATCTCAGGCTATAGCTGGGCCTCTCCTCTGTGTTCCATAGCGACCCCTGCATCTATTTATTAAAACATTACACCCACAGAAATAAACTGGTACCCCTTTCCCCTGTCATTCTCTCTTAAAGGGCCACAAGATGATTCACCAGGGAGGGGTAGGGGGGATGGCACACATATTGTCCTATCTGTTTGACATGAGGGGTCCCATCTGAAAGTATTCTCGGCTTTCTTTACAGGTGTAGGGTAAGGGGTTGATCTTAGGGAGTGGCACCCAGCCCCCACCCACCTCTCACCTCATGTGTCTGTGGGTTCTCAACGATGCAGCCGTAGTTGAGGGACTGCGTCCTGTTAGCCTGAGAGACAGACATATCCAAGACAGTGACCTGCCTCCTCCAGGGCAGCTGAGGCTGTTTTCTTTTCCTTTCTTTCCTTCCCCTCTAGCACCTGGCACGAAGCCCTGACACTGACAGGCCTTCAGCAGAGCCGAGAGCTGACAGCTTCCCCCCCCCCACTTCCCAGCAACCAAAGGGCTCGGGGTTGCCAATGACACCTCATGTTACAGTTGGGGCAGCGCATCTCTCTCCCAACCCCCCTTCCAGCTCCAAGACATAGAGTGGTCCCAGTGGTCCCAGCCTCTCCGGGGCCGTCGGCCCTCCCAGCGCTCACTGTGGTGCCTAGAAGTAAGAAGGGGTGGCGCTGGCGCCTGTGAGCATCCAACATAGCGTTCAGAGGGAAGTCAGAGCAGACATCAGCGTTGAGCACGAAGAACGCCTCAGGTGCCCCAGCCAGGATCTGGTCCCGAAAATGGTAGAGACCACCCCCTGTGCCGAGGGGAGCAAACTCCTGCAGGTACCTGTCCCCAGGGACCCCAGCCAGCTCAATGAGACACTAGGAACCAGGGCCCTTGACACACCCTCCCCCGACATCTCTGCTCTTGTCAGAAGTACTTCTGGCCAAGGCCTTTCAAGGCAACCTCATAGTAAGCAATTCTGATGCCTGAAATAAGAATCTCATGGTGTGGGGTGGACCCTGGTGAATACTGACTCAACCCATTCCCAAGAACTTTGAGACTCAGACCCATATATACAGTCATTCAAATACCTGACTGGAAGGTTAAACTCTTGCTGGGCAGCTTCTAGGAACTGAGTGAGGACCTCATCGGGCTGGTAGAAGCCAATGAGTAGAATCTCCTGCATCCCAGGGACCTAGGATAAGGGAAGAGATTGGGAAAAAAAAAATCTGATGGGAAATTGGGAAGATCTTGGCACTGGTCCAGAAGTCTAGAGAATGCAAATTCAGCTTCAGCTGGGTATCTTGGGTAACCACCATTCTGGCCTGCTTTTTCTTTAGACAATGAGGAAGTCAGAAGAACTCTCAGCCCAGACCTTTTCATTTTTGATGGTCTCTCATGCACCTGGACTGGAACAACCTTGTCTGCCAAGGCACAATGATATATAATCCAGCCATCTTTTCTGCCTTTCCTTCTTTGTGACCCCCTCTTTCTCTCTCAGTACTGGGCATTGAACCCAAGACCTCACACATGCTAGACAAGTGCTCTATCTCTGAGCTATATCTGCAGCTCAGGTATGTGTGTGCATGTATATATGGGTATATATAACCCATGTGTATGTATCCACGTGGAGGCCAAAGGTCAATCTTAGGTTTTTTTCTTCAGGAGCAGTCCACTTTGCGTTTTTGAGTCAAGGTTTCTCATTGGGGTCTGAAACCTAATGACTAGGCTAGACTGGCTGGCCAGTAAGCCCCAGTGATATACCTGTCTCTATCTCCTCAGTGCTGGAACTACAATCACCATGACTTGCTCTTTTTAAAGGTGATGGGGATTGAACTCGTATTTGTACAAACAAGCACTGTACCAATTGAACTACCTCTCGTTATATATTATTCTACATCTGATACCAGCATGAGATGAGGGTGCCATTTATCAAGGGTGTGCATTGAATTAGGCATTTTACAGCTTGGACACTCTACAAAGGAAGTCTAATCTCTACAGATTAAAAAAAACAAAAAAACAAAAACAAAACAGAGCTCAAAGGAAGTTGAAACTTTGGTTGCTCTGGGTCTCAGCAGGAAAACTGGACTCAAACTCAAACCTTGCCTATCCCAATAACAAAGCAATAAAGAAATGAGCAACAGCATGGGCTCTGTTCTTTATTATTGATAAGGGATCCCGTGCTATAGCCCTAACTATCTTTTAAGATCCCTGCCTGACTTCACATTCCATACTGTAAAACTAGGTGTAAAATCTGAGCGGCAGGAGGCAGGGAAGACAACAGGGTTAGCTGCAGCGCACAACCTGAAGAAGTGCCATTCACACAGACACCTGTGAATGAAAGCCCCTGGAGTTACACTTGGTGGGAAAAGACCATGGCTGGGAAATGGAAGACACACACCATGAAGGAAATGAGCAGGGCATACAGAATGAGAGGTAAACCCACAGGGTTACCTGAGCACAGGCTTCTATATGGTGCTGGATCATAGGGACGCCTGCCACAGGAAACAGTGGTTTGGGCACCTCAAAAGACAAAGGCCTGAAGCGAGTCCCTGAGAGAGGACAGGAAAACATTTTAGCCTCCTACTTCCTTCTGTCCCAACCCCACTTACTCTCCAGCCTCCTCCCTCCCCTACTCCCCAGCTCCTCACCCTTTTGAGGGCCTCCAATGAGGATCACAGCTTTGAGCATGATGGAGGCTGCTACCTAAACCTCAAACCCCAAGAGAAGAATTTACACTCAGATCTCATACCACAAATTGCAACACACAGCTTTCCTAGGATGTAAACTCAAAAGTTCAGTACAGTTCCTCCCTGGGCACACCAACACAAATTTCATCCCAATCCAGCACTCAGTTGGCTTCAAAAGCCCGCACCCCACCCTTTTATCTCTAACGACTCCCCATTGGCCATGAACAAATTCTCTAAATTTGGAACTCAACGGACCCCCTTCTCTGACCCCAAACCTCAAAAACCGGAAACCTCCATCCTAATGGTTGGCAACACCTGCATCCTATTTCTAGACATTCAGCTCCGAAATCCAGCGGTCAATATGAAAGCACAAACCTCGAGTTAGCTCTAGGTATTAATTTCATTCCTAAGAATGAGCCCCAAGTACCGAACACTAATCTGCATTTGGTCAGTGTTAGTCCTAACACCGCTAGGTGCAGAATGTGAATCTTACAACTACCTGCATGTGCTAAAAAGCTCGAATCAAAAGACAGGTTCCCTTGACATGCCAAACGCTGAGCCTACTACAGCAGCGCGCCTAATGACAACTGGTGCCCAAGGATTGATTGCTGGACCCTCTGGATCCCACAACTGAGTATGTCCAATAAACGTTAGCTTCTCGTAGCCATGGGTTATGGAAGCAGCACAAGCATGGGCATGAGAAGCGCAAGACAGGACCTCCGAGCCCTGTCTACGTCTAGCGTCGGTCCCATACCCCTACCCTGCCCGCCAAACCTCCACCAAGTTGGTCTTTTACCACTAGCTCCCTTACGCCAGCTCTGCCGCCTGCTACTGCTTGCTCCTTCCGCGTACGTGTCTCCTTACAACTCGCGAGAGCTCCTTCGCAGGGGCTGCCGGGAATTGTAGTTTTGAAAAAGTCGTCTCTCCAACTTTGTCAGACAGCTGGGAAGCGTGCTGGAAACCTGGATTTTGGTCAAGGGGTCGAGGGGTGGCTTAAATGAGAAGAGGAAGACGAGTGAAGGTCGGGACTAAGAAATTAGGCCTGGAAACTAAGATTGCGATCTAAGCTTTCCCAGTGTGGGCTCAGGGACAGCGGAGAACAAGGTCACAGGAGAATACCGACCAGAGGCGAAAGGGGTGTAGCCAGTCTTGGAAGGGGCTGGGGCTCCAAAAGCTGGCAGGGGCCGTGCCCAGGCTGAAAAGGCGGAGTCACAGCTCCAGTATTTGTCCAGGTGGGAAGTTCGACACTGAGAGAAATCCGATTCCGGATTTACTGTCTGTGAAATGAAGCACTGGCCTAGCAATGCTCTCCAGATTTTCTAGTGAGTCCAACAGTCTGTGACCTTGGCCTGTGGGTCTTGGAATAAGTATGGGACAGGGACGGGGAGAGTAAATGGCGATGGCAAAAAACCAAAACCAAACAAACAAACAAAAAACCGCGGAGGATACGAAGGGGGAAAGGATTTTTATTAAGCAAGACGGAGAAAGATTTGGGTCCCCCACCTCCTGGGCTTGCAGCCAAGGCAAATGGTCTTGATGGTCCCTTTCAAGCCACGTCCACCTGAGCGAAGCTCTGGTCTATGCCCAGGCTGTTCTCTACAAACACATTATACTAGATGGTGGTGTTAGTACCAATCGCAACACTCTGGGGAAGGTTGGAGAGATGGAGGGTGGAGCTGTGGGTCAGTTTACCCACGGAGTGAGCCTACTTAACTAGAAAGCTCTGTTCTTTGCGGTCCAGCGACCCTCATCCTTCTGCAAGGTTTCTGGGAACAGTATCACACAGGTTCCAGCCCCGGGCCCTGCCTTTTTCGCAGACCCCAGCCCTTCCCTGTCGTCGACCTTGATGTCCTCTCTATCCTTGGTCCAGCGGACATCCGGCAGAGGCTAGCCCAGGATCTGGGCAGTCAGTGTTACCATGGTGTCTTTGCGTGTCTTAGTGTTATCAGGTCCCTTTTGAACCTGCCAGGACTAGGTGGAGGGCTGGGGAACCCAACCAATAAGGGTCCTAAAGGTAAGCTGGAACAAGAATATCACCTCCCCAACAAACATCTGGCCCTAAAGTCACGAGGTGTATTTGAATTCACAGTACAATATCGGACAAATGACTAGCCACTAAGGTTTTATCTCTTTAGCTATTAAACAGGACTTAGCCCTGTCCCTTTTTCTCTGGGTCAAGTAGAAGATCAAAAGAGATACAGCTCTCACAGCACTTCAGAGACAGCTTTGAGTAGAGGAAATTGCCCTGGATTGGGAGCCAGAAAACTGGATTTTAAGTCTTGGCTCACGCTGTGACCTTGGGCCCTGGAATCTTATGATGGGAACGCACGGCTGACTTCTCAGTCTGGGTGGGGCCAGGTCCCGAAGTAGGGGAGGAACACTGCTAGGATTGCCCTCTGGACAGTGTGAAGCCTGGGTTCCCCATTGCTCTGTCTGGACTACAAATGTGCTCTGGCCTGGACACCACTACTGTGCTTGCCCCTGGTGCTGTTTTGAGCCTAGGGCATGTGAGTCTTCCACAAGGATACATGAGTCTGAGCACTGGCAGAAGGGATTGGCTATGCTGATGCTATACTGGTCCAGGTAGGTCAACTCGGTGTCTTGCACCACCAGAGCCACCACATCAGGGTCCTTGGGGACATAGCGTCACTTATGTCCATTGCACAGCCCCTTGAGTCCTTAATCCAGCAAATAAGCAGGTCTGAGAATGACATTCAGCAAGCCAGCTTGATGGTGCCACCTTCATCAGAACTATGTCCTTCAGAGGCTCCAGAAGCCATTTCCTTCTGAAACTCACAACCCCACCCCTCCAGGCTTCATCAGCACTCCAGGCTCCCATATAGGACTGAGGCCTGCCCCCCGCCTAGTTTGCCAGCACACCATCTCTGCACCTTTCCCTTGACCCACTAGACACCTAACTTAGAAATGAGAATGGGTAGGAAGGTTGGGGGCATCCCTGAACTGTTACTTTTAAAATAAGTATCCTTTGTCAGCAGCCTTTCTGTACTATAGCAGCTTCTCCCCTAGCCCGGTGACTGGTGTTCACATCACAGCAGCAATGCAGGCCTGGAGGACTTCCTCTCCAATACTCTGGACTCCTTCATCCATGGCTCCAGGACTGGGTGCAGATGGAGATACTCTGGACCTGGGGGTCATTGATACCAGAGTAACATCCTGGGGGGGGGGGGGCTGCTGTTTGATTTTTATGGTTTTTCTCCACATAAAGTGTTTTTGGACATTTGAAGAGTAGATGACAAACATGGGGGTCCAGGCTGGGCCAGAGGTTTCCAGTCTTCAACCCTACTTAAGAAAAACACCCACCTGTGACAGGAACGTCTGAAGCTTCTCTCAGGAATGGACTCATCCTACAGGCGTCAACTCCAAGACTTCGGCTGGCTGGCTGGCTGGGTTGACCGTGGGGCACCTTCCTGTCTGTCACAGCAGAGGTTTGGACAGATAATCACCAGCTCTGGTTTTATACATTGTTCCTTTCCTTGCCTTGTTTGGCATGGTTGCCCCTAGTCCTCCCAGGAATGGCAGCTCCCTCCCACTGGCCAAGTAGCCCTAGGATGCTTGGGCTACTGGCCCTGAAAGAGGTACCTGAACTTCTGGGAGATACACCAGCAGCTGGACAGCTGAATATGGCCCATCCTTTTTCAGAACAAGGGGCATCATCCCACTCCTAGCAGAACCAGATGTGGCCAACAAGAGACATGGCTTTATACTTATCTCAATCTCCAGGCAGTAATGTAATATGCCTTTTTTCCTCTTCTAATGCTGTAAATTAAAGGAGTGCAAGTGTTTGGGAAAGCATCTTTAAGTAAAGCCAGAGTAGCACTGAACTCCACGGCCCATATAGCCAATAATAAAATAAAATAACTGGCTGTCGAAACCAGTTAACTTTTACAGCCACCCTTACCCCAAGAGGCTCTGGTTGTCCTTTTGACACAACGCCCCCTGGTGGTAAGATGAAATAAACCAAGGCGGAGCAGGAAAGATATTTGAGAACAGCAGCCATCATCACCATGACTCCCAATGCCCACTGCCTTCATTCCCCGTCTCTCTTCCACTTTTGTTCCAGGATAGGGTCCGTCTGATCAGTACTATCCTGGAAGGTTAGGACTATAACTGGCTCTCCAAACCCTAGTGTTGTAGGTGACGATTAATATTTGCTATTGATATATCTTCTGGTAAAGCTGCTGTTAATCCTAAAGAGCTGTATACCCAAATCACCACACAGAGACTGGGATTTATTTAATTAACCTAGAACACAATGCTGGGCAATACTTTGTTCATCCTAAACCTCCAAGCCCTCATAGTTTCCTAACATTTAGATTTCCCACATTATACTTGCTTTTAGTGATATATTAAGTCCAGCTCATCTATCTTCATGGTTCCAAGATCTCTGCTCCTGCCTCTGTTCTCCCAGCTCTCTCTTCTAGCTCTCTCCTCTCTTCCTCGCCCTTTCCCCTCCCACTCGTTTCCTGCCCTCTGGCTCCTCCCATTGCTCAACATTGTGGCTAGTTGCTTTATTTTGGCCTGTTTACCCAAAGCTGAGACAGGACCCTTAGAATAAGTATTACAAGGCAATATCCGGATTGAAACCAGAGAGTGGGGAGGAGAAATCAGCATTTGAATGAACAAGGGTAAGGTGTGTACATTCCAAAAGAACATTATACCAACACCCTAGGTTCACTGAAGTCATTTAGGGGCTGATGCACAGGGCACCAGGCTGTGGTAAAGGTCATCTCTCGGGGCCTTGAGTGGACAGTCCAGGCTGTGCAGGCTAGGGCACCAGATGGGAGCATTGTTTCCACCCATTGTAAGCACTTGCTCAGGTGTGGGGCATTGTCACCTTTTGATCAGAACAACTTTTGACACCATTCTGCTGACATAAATTACCTTTGCTCCTCCAGGTTTGGAATAAGCAGTGCACATGCCATTTCCAATGGAGATGGAAAGGGAACTGCAGATCAAAGGGGGACAGGAGGGAAATTTTTAGCATTTATTAAAATATGAGTTCAGGCACCTCATTTTTATACAAAAGCATTTGTAGTATGTAAGGGATTGGAGATCCTCGCAGGCAAACTGTATATATTCATAACTGAAATGATGGGTGGGCAAGGTGTCTCTCTCATCCCTTCCCACCAGTTTTAACTCCTTGTTATTTTATGATGATGAGCCTTGCCTCTTTCCTGAGGTCCTAGGAAGCCAGAATGTCTGTTGAGCTTGAGTCAAAGGGTCTTCAAACCAGTGCTGATGCTCTCTGCTTATGTTAGAGGTTTGTTCCTTTCAGGTTGCCAAGAGTAGTGCTTCAAGGTAGAACACAGGGCAGCTGGCTCCCTCTTTCTTCTACTTCAGGTCCAGGAAGTTCATTTCTGGGACCTGGTAACCATTCTTGGGTGATGCATGGGTGTGTCCAGTCATTGCCCAGCAGACTCCTAACTCTCTATGGAGACAAGAAGGTCTAGCCTGATGTGTCCTAGGAATATGCTGGACATGGCTGCCCTGAAAACTCACAGCTGTTCCATGTATTTGGATAAGATCTGTGTTCTAATCCCATGAACTTGTGGCCAGCCACCCTCCCCAACCCCTGTTCCTTCTACAGCTCTTTACACTGTCTCTTTTAACAAATTATTGAGATGAAATCCATCTCTCCTTAGTTCTGAGGAAGGGCAAGAGTAAAAGAGGCTGAGATAGGTCTGGGATGCAGCTGGTCTGTTCCAGAGCCCAGCATTCTTCAAGTTACAAAGAAGGAGCATGTATGAGCAGAGGTGAGTCCCTAGGGTCAAGATAGAAGGTGTGCCTTCTATCTTGGCAGTATGTCTGCCAGCATTCTAGAAACTGCAAAGTTGACTGCAGTTTTCCTTCCCCTAAGAATGAAAAGTAGTGAGAGCTTGGGGCTGGAGAGATGGCTCAGAGGGTAAGAGCACTGACTGCTCTTCCAGAGGTCCTGAGTTCAGTTCCCAGCAACCACATGGTGGCTCACAACTATCTATAATCAGATCTGGCGCCCTCTTCTGGCGTGCAGGTGTACATGCAGTCACATATTGTATACATAAAAAAATAAACAAATCTTAAAAAAAAAAAGGTAGTGAGAGCTAAAGGAGGAATTAGAAGGGTGTCATAGATGATACTGACCCCTGAATGAGTTGTCATTGCCTAGAGAAGGTGTGGCTCCACCCAGGACTCACTCCAAGCCACCCAGCCTCCTCCTCCTCACCCCACCCAGAGACCACACATAGATTCTGCTGCTTGTTGTTTTTTATTTTCCTTGTGACAGACAGACAGAGAGCTGCACAGACAGCTGGATGGCTGAGGGGGTGGTCAGGACAACATAGGCAATAGGGATTGGATGGGAAGGAAAACTCCGTAAAAGGCAATAAATAAATAAATACAAATAGGAGGAAGGGCAAAGGCCATGGAGGAGCAGTGGGGACATCCCTGGGCCAGTGTAGAGTGGCCAGAACTGCATTGGCTGGGATAGGAGACCAGCCTGAGTGACCTTAGGCACATATCTTTTTGCCTTTCTCCTTTCTCTTTCTGAAGATGCAGCTGCTAGCCTGGCCTGCCCCCCCCCACCAGCCTGCTCCCATTCCACCTTTCTGCCCTCCCTTATATCTCTGCTATGGCTCCTGGCACTGTCTCTATGTCCTGTCTTCCTCTCCTATCCTCTCTCCCGGCTTACTGTTCCCATACCATGGGATCCTTCTTCCTCCTCAGCCACTTCCTCTACTGGGTTCTCCCTGAGATATACCACTCCCACCCCATCCCAGAACCTTCCACAAGTTCCTCCCTTCCTGTCCTCTGTTTTTCACTCTTCACTTCTCCACTCCCTTCTTGCCTCTTTCTGTTCTCACCCTTGCCCAGCCTGGCCAGTGGGTCTCCCGTTCTGGGTTTTGGCCGGGGTGACATCCGGCTCAAGCCCCAGAGGCCTTGTCCCCTTAGGTCCATGAGGTAATAGGCCAGCCAGATGTTGCTGCTGCTGGTATCTGAAGCCCCCCCGGCCTGTCCAGCTCAGCATGGGCTCTGGAATGTCCTAGGCAGCATGAGTGGGAACCCGAGTTGAAGCCCGCGGCCGGGCCGTGGTCCATGCCACCTAGGGGCTGCCAGGGTAGGAGCGGAGCAGCACCTTGTGACTGGTAGCAGCCTCGGCCCGGCGTCGTCGCTGTTCGCCCAGGAATTCCTTGAGCCGGTTGGTGGTAAAGGTGAGTGTCTGGCGGCGCAGCTTCATCAGGTAGGCATCTTGCAGCCATGGGTGGGCCAGGCAGTCTTGCAGTGAGGGCCGGCTCCTGCCAGGCGAACCAGGGACCATGAACCAGGAAAGCTCTTGGAGAAGGCAAGCTGTGTCCTCCCTCAGGCCCTTTACCAATCCTGACTCATCGATATGTGTGTGATACTGGGCAGCTCATGGCCTCAGTTTCCCAGTGTCTGGAATAGGGATGGTGGTTCTGTCTTTCCCAGGGCTGTTATGGGCTTTAAATGGTAGGCAGGATGACAGCTGCTACCGCCGCCGCACAATATGGAAGAGTTAGGAGTCTTTAGCCAAGAGAAGCCAGGCATTCAGAGGCGGGTTGGGGGACTACTCACCAGGGATGAACGGAGAGGACCTTTCTTAAGAAGAGTGTGGCACTCTGGGATGTGTTAGGATACAACTGGAAGGCATCAAAGCGGCCCCCCACAATCCGAGCCTCTGTCTCCTGGGGGTCTGGCTCATAGAATGGGGAGTATCCACTAAGCCTGTTGTGGAAGAGAGGTGAGTTGGCACTCTCAGGTGAGAGCGTTGCCTTTACCTTAGAATGATGGTCAGTTGTCAGGCCTAAGAAACATTAGTGCAAG